CGCCCGTCCGCGTGGATCACCTTGCATCCTCCGCCGCTCGACGCCGACGCCGACGCCGAGCCCGGCGCGGGCGCCAGCGACATGCACGCCGGCTTGTTCCCCATGAGAGAGGTAGAGAGAGAGGGTAAGGTGGTGTGAGAGGGGGGTGGGGGTGGGGGATCAATGGAGACGGTGTGGGTATATGATCGACGGGGGAATAGGAGGAGGAGGTAAGGTGACGGTGGGTGATGCATGGAAAAGGACAAGCAAATGATTAGCGTGCTGCAGCTCAGGGGTTAGGACAGCAGCAGCAGCTGGCTATCAGCATTCAGCTCGCTGAACTTGTGGCCACAGCTAGCTACCACTCTGCATTGTTTAATTAGCCAGCAATGGCGATGTGGCAGCGGGGGGCAGCCGGACAGCTTGGCGTCGATCGCCATGGACAAAGGCGAAGAGAAAAACAAAGCAAAAAAGAGTTCGGGTTTGATCTAGCTCAGCGGGCCGGCGGGCTTAATTATAATTATAATTAGCATATAAGATGACAGAGCATGGCCTTGGTAGGGCGTCGCTGTAGCGCCCGTCTCTCCTCCGCAGGCTGCGCCGCTTAGAGTATGTGGACGGGCGACGGCGACGACCACGACCCCGCGCGGCCTTAACAAATTGAGTCCGGCAGTGCTTGCTAGCTACTCATTGCTGAGTTGGACACCACGAACAATTCAGAGGGTTTATCTATCTTTTTTCCTTCTCGATTAGTTCGAGCAAGGGGGGACGCATCGGGCCATTTCCTTTCTACGTTAATTAAGAGCATAAGATGAGGAAGACAAGATGGGTTCAATCTGCAGAGAGGATCGAGTCGCTGGATCTGTCAATCTGCAGATCGATCTCCCTGCCAGCATCGGTCGACGAGGATCATGCATGCTTGCTTGTTCTAGCCAAACGTACACTGCACACGAAACAAACGATCGATCACTCGGTAAATCATCAAAGAGAAAACCAGAGTTGCTCGCCGCCCTTGCGATGTTCAGTTGACATTTGGAGTGGACCATGGAGGAATATCATTATCTACGCCATAGCGGTTGCTTTTGAGTTCAGGCTTCAGATCCTAACTGGACACTGAAGTTGATTATCACTTCAGTAAAATAAGCTTGATATGGGGGATGATATTATGCATTGGCTTACTTTAGCACATCGTGTTTTTATATTTCTTTGGTTCCAGCCATTATTCTGCTGCTCTAGAAAATTGAAGGGACGGATGGATGCATGGATTAATAATTTAGGATTTGGGGGTTGGGGAGACTTGGCCTGGCTCTCGAGCACACCCTGCCCAGCTTGGCATTCAACGTACTGGAGCTGCAAATCTCAGGACCTGGCATGTATGTATATTTGGTTCTCAAAACCATATATTCCCGCAATCTCTGCCTACCTCTGTGCTTCTCACGCCAATCATCTTTACTTTTATTTATTATCATCATTCGGCGATGCAACAATGCTTGTTATATTATTTTCACAACGAGATTGTTGTGAGCCTCTCACATGCTTCTACGCCTTTGGATCAGCACACAACCATCTTTTGTCCCCAAGTAACCTATGTATAACCAACAAACCACGATTTTGCTAAATCTCAAACACACACACACAATTTTGCTATACTACTCTGCTCAAGTTTTTTTTTTTTTTTTTTTGCAAGTAGACTCTGCTCAAGTTGTACTTGGACAACTTGGGGGACATCATTTCAAAGTGTCCTAATTTTTTAGAAATTCCACGAAAACCTACAATCTATCTACTAATAGAGTACTAGTACTAGGATACTGAAAAAACATGTTTTAGAGTACTTGCACCCGGCCCCCTCTTATCTAGCCATCCATTCTCCGCATCAATATTCCTGCAAGAAAATTTCTCCTTTTTGTTTCTCTCAGATAGAACATGTCTTGAAGTTCAAACCTTTGCAGAATAGCAAAGCTTTCTTACTAGAATTAGGATAAAACTTTTAGATTTTTTGGTCCAACATAAATATACAAAATAAGTTATGTTTGATTAAAAAAATATTTAATTTTTAGTATTTATCTCGGAGCAAAAATTCTGAAAGTTTTATCTCACATTCTAGTTAGAAAGTTTTGTTGCGCTGCAAAGTTTAAAGTACAAGACTTGTTCTATATGAGAGAAACAAAAAAAGAGGAGATTAGTTGTGTCCCACAGATCTTAAAGCGACATTGGAGAGCCAGGTTAACACGGCCCGGGTGCAGGTGCTCAAAAAATCTGCATTCCTAGGATACTAAGCTCTCTTGTTTTGGAGCTCTCTGAGGGATCGAGTGTTGTGGGGTCGCTAAGGGCTCCACTTTGAAGGTGTGTGTTGTTGGTTAAGAGTAACAGACATCTATATAGCCATGATGCATCTGTCGACTTTAGCAAGGTTCTAGAGGGTTTTAATTTTTTTCTTCATTTCTGTGTTTTTCTACCGGTTTTGATATATTTTTTGTTCTTCGTTTCCTGTTTTTTTTTCTGATTTTTTCATTTTTATGTTTCTTTTCATATTTTAGTTCATTAAAATTTATAAAATATATTTTTAAAATTCTGAATTGTTTTTCCAAAATCATCAATGTTTTTAAAAGTTATGAGTATTTTTAAGTTCACAAACATTTTAAAATTATGTGTGCCATGGAACAGTTTTAAAATTGTGGATTTTTTTTCAAATTTATGGGTTTTTAATTAGCAACAATCTTAAAATCCATGAACATCTCTTGATTTGATGAAGTTTTTGAAATAAAAAGAAGATAGACTGTTTTTTTCCGAGTTACAAGGGAAATGAGGGGGGCAAAAAGCTAAGCGAGCGAGTGGAATAGAGAACCACGTTGTGCAAGAGTATCATGGGCTGCATGTGACTGTTATAGCAGCAAATCCATGGTTTCAACATGGAATAGCAGCAAACCACCATCGACTGGCACCAAGACCGAAACGTGTAAGGACACGATAATCACGCACAAACAAGTCTACTCTATTATTAGAACAAATACCATCTCCAACAACAACCCAGCATGATATACAGATGAAAAAAACACCACCAAAACATTTAAAGCACGAGCCAACCCATATAAAATCACAACCAAACAACCAACCAAAACATGTTTTTGATCAAGTTGCTTAAAGTTCATAATTTGATTTCTCAAATAGTAAATAAATTTTGCAGGAGGATAATACTTTCCAATGAAAGCGTTTTTACATTTTTGACTAATGCTATTTCTAGGCAAAGACAATAACCATTCCTTAGCTCTATCTATTATGGAGAAGGGAAAGAATTTCAGTTTTATAATATCATCACTGTCCACATCTTTAGATTTTTGCATATCACAAAGTTCAACAAAATTATTAAGATGAGCAACAACATCTTCATTATAATATTCAGAAAACGGTTGTTTCATAACAAGATTTAACATAGCAGGCTTAATTCATATGACTCTGCACTGGTTTTAGGAGCCAACAATGATTCTGAAGCATAAAAAAATAGTCATTGTGTTTGTCATGCCAATCATATATTCCCGCAATCTCTGCCTACCTCTATGCTTGTCACGCCAATCATCTTTAGTTTTGTTTATTATCGTTCGGCGATGTAACAATGCTTGTTATATTATTTTTACAATGAGATTGTTGTGAGCCTCTCACATGCTTCTACGCCTTTGGATCAGCACACAACCATCTTTTGTCCCCAAGTAACCCAGATACGTATAACCAACAAACCATAATTTTGCTAAATCTCTCTCTCTCTCTCTCTCTCTCTC